TATTGCTTAAACATATTTGAATTCCAACCAAATTATTGAATTCCTTTCCAAATTTTTAGGATAAATACTTTTTTTTTTTAATAAGCAAGTCACATATAAAGAACTTGTCATATGCTCTAAGAGCTTTTTGATATTCATGCTTCTATTAGCCATAACTAGATGTTGTACCCGTGCGATGCACGGGCCCAATTGTTGCCTTTGTTTTCTTCTTCTTGTTTTTATCCTTTTAATATTTCTTGGTCTATTGTTAATTACACACTTACTACGCCTTTAGGGAAAGAAGAAAGAGAATAAGCTTTTGTTTAATGACGTATAGAACCACGATTACATGTATTGTTATTTATCTTTTGCATTATGTGCATTTTAATTTTTATGAAATCGTATTACTACACTAATCACTTTGAAACACTTGTCGAGTTTAATGCTTTATTATACAGTGATTAGATAATAATTCAAGTAGAATTTAAATTATTTCTACATAGGGCCTTTTTTTAAAAAAAATTTTTTGCATCACTAAGCCTTAAATTAATTTTTATTAAATAGTAATTAAAAAGTCAGTTGAAAAATAAGTCGTCATGTATTTTTCTCATTTTTTAAATTGAAATATAGTTTTATTCTTTTAGTATTTTCAGTGTGTTAATGTATTATTTTTTTCTTCTTGTACTAATCAAAATTTAAATAACAAAAAATATTAATATTATTCCCAAATAGGTGATGAAAAGGTATTTTTTGGTTCTTTGAAATAATAATCGTGATTTTTAATTATTAAGAATTTTAACAAGAAAATTTGTATTTGTATTGTAAAATATTTTATTTTTAAGTTTGGGTATTGGATATGAGCAGTTTTGGGAGATATGGCAGAATTTCAGAGTAAGGGATAGGCACATATTCCCATCGCACAACGACAAACCGACATGCACCATAATCTATGGACTGAATTGCTTGAATTAGTTGAAGGTGCGGAGTGGCGACTTCGTTCTTGTTTAATTTGTAGAATTAGAAAATAAATAATCTAGTTTTGCATTATTTTGTTCGAGAACAATGTAGGTTTAACTAATATCTCGATCACTCTAAATACTAATCAAATTGACCGTAAAATTATTGCAATTTTTTCTAGTTTCATTTGATATGATTGAGATACTATTTAGGGTATAATGCAATTTTCATCGCAATAGTAGTATTTGTTGAGACTATTTTAAAAATAATTAATTGTATATTTATGTATTTTAAAATTTATATAATGTTGAATTCTTATTGAATAGAGTATGTAATCAACTGACTTCGATCATAGAGGGAGAAGTATAATCTTGTATGATGATACTTCTCATACTTCCTAATATATAGCGATTTTTAAAAGAAAAAAATTTCACAAATTAATTGTCTTAATTTTTACTTCAGATATTTTCAACTCATATTTTAGAGAGGGGATACTTATTNTAGGTAAGAGACACAAAACCTCCTCATACAACAACGTATCCTTAGCATTAATTTAGCGTCACTAGTATCAAAAAGAAAATCTCCAACACTAGTGTACACTTGTAAAGGATAATTTAGACATGGTACATTGAGTATTACACTGACTCAAATAAATATACCACTTTGGTGGAAACTATCTATTAATCATAATTCTCAATCCATGTGTATATTATTTTACATGTATAAAGTTTTAAGAATTTTCAATGACTCCAAATAAATAGACCACTTTGATAGAAACTATTTATTAATAATAAATTCTTATTTATAATAATAATATACATGTAAAATTAAAATAGAGCCCACAAATAATTAAATCTTATGTATTATGTCAACAAGGAATTTTGGAGTAACTGTTGCAAGTAAACAATTACTAAAAGGTAATTAATAACCAATAGAATAATCCATTAAGGACAATTACCCTAGGTATTGACCAAATCCACATTAGCTAATCACCAAACTCAGTGAAAGATTGTTCGGAAAAGGTCCAAAAATATCCCTAAACTATGGTATATAGCTCAGTTATATCCTCCGTTAGTAAACTGGGCCAAAAAAGTCCCCCCGTTAGCACAATGGCCCATTAATACCCTTCAACCTAACGACTCCTTCCATCAGCATTTAATATCCTACATGGCATCCACATAAGCCATGACATGGCAGCCACATAAGCGGGCTATTTCATAAACTCGCTTACTCCTCACGTGAGTTGTATATTTCCAAACCCCATTTTCAAACAAAAACCTAAGTTCTTCCATGTCCATTCTTCCATGGCGATTTGAGAGGTGAGGGGATGATACGATAGTGCAAGGTTTAACAACTCAAATTGAAGATCAAATTTCCATATTTCTGCTCCAATTTTCGGTCATATTTCCACATTTTTTCTCCAATTGCCGCTCAAATTTCCACATTTCTTCTCAATGTCTGATTTATCTGTGAATGCGCATGAAATTCAATATGCAAGAAGGTGTCATTGCGGATTGATTGCGCTATATTTGACAGCTTGGTCAAATGCCAATGTTGGGAGAAGGTTCTACAAATGTCCAAGATCCAAGGTTAGTTTTGAATGTATTTTTTTTTTGGCCGATTTATGGGATTCATATTCTTTTGTCGAGTTAGGTCGTTCTTGATTTTTATTGTTTATGTACAAAATCAGAACTACTGTAAAATTCTAATAATGGTGTAGGTTAGTTTTTGCGGGTATTTTGAATGGATTGACGAAGAGCTCCCTCGTCGAGCGGTGATGGTGATCAAAGATTTAAAAACTAAACTTGATGTTGCTAAGGTTGAGAGGAACAATTTGAGGAATAAAGTTTACCTCATGGAACAAGCTACGATGGTTCAAAGGGGCTCTAAGAACTTGGTTGATGGAATGGAAGATGTTATGACGGTTGAAAGGCATACTTTGAAGATGAAACTTGACGAAATGGAGCAATTTCAACTTGTGGAAGCTGAAAAAGCTAGAAAGTTAGAGGTCAAAGTGAAGAAGATGAGAAATATCATTTTGGTTTCATGGGCTTTATTATTTGCTTTGGTTGTCATAGGGATGAAGAAGTGAATGCGTTTTGTTTTAATGTATTGTTGTAGTATTTTGGTTTAGTTATAGGGGTGATGAAGTTAAACTATGTATGTTTAGTAGGTTGTAGTATGATGAAGTTAATCTATGTATGTTTAATCTATGTGTGATGAAGTTATTCTAGTTCTATTCTTCTTGTTGTTAAAAGGATTGTGAGTACCACTTCTATTTTTCTTTGCCAGATCATGAGCTTTTCTTTGTGAGTATATATTCTCCAAATTATCTTAATTCTCAAACGGAAGTTCACAGACATGTAGGCATCACTTAGAACAACTGAAATGGAGTCACTAGTGACATGTCTCAAAGCACTGAATCATCCACAGAATAAACACTCCTCTGCAAAACATTATTACCCTCCACAATGAACTACTACTTTTTTATTAAATAAAGAAAAGATTTTTGCTAAAGAACTAACTTAATTGTACCTGAATCAATGAATAATAAAACAAACACAAAGCAACACCAAATAAAAATGCACATTCTTGTCCAATATACTCGTCTCTGCTCCAAGAAATCATATTGTGTTTGCTCCACTTGCTTGTGTTGCATTCACCACCTGAGTTGTTTTATTGCTTACGGTCTTGCTGCATTTTTAGTAGTTTATAGCTTGTAAATAAAAACTTCAAACCAAGAAAGACAAGGACAAATCGAATGGAAAAGAAAAGGACCAAAAACATGAAACAAGTGGAGCCATAGACTTGCTGGCTAAAGATACAAACAACAAGATGAAAGTTCTGTATTCCATGTAAAGGCTTAAAAGCCACAACATAGGCTGGTTCAGTTTAATTCAATAAAAAGACATGCATTCTTCTGGTTCTATTTTAGTTCAGTTTAAGAATATGCATATTCTATTCTTGATAGTCTGATACTAATAGTGCATGAAGCCACTGCTGTCCAGCTTTGCAACTAATAACTGATCAGTGCATAAAACCACAGAATTTCAGCATACAAGCATATACACCAGCACTGCAAACAACACCGTCAAAACAGCTGCAACAAAACAGCACTGTTGTGCAAACTAAACCAAAACAACACTGTCAAAACAGCTGCAATAAAACGGCACTGCTGTGCAAACTAAACCAATACAGCACTGTCAAAACAGCTGCAACAAAACAACACTGCTGTGCAAACTAAACCAAAACAGCTGCATAAATTTTAGTTTACTGATGCTACAAAACAACACTGTCAAGCCATCAAAACATGTTTACAAAATAACTACTAAACCAAACAGCACTGTTGTAACCAGGATTACTAGATTTGTGAGTTCCCAATGAGTTTCCTACACTTCAACTTCCCCGCTTTCTTTTGTCTTGCCACTTCCAATTGATTTTCAGTCACAACTTCTTTGCCTTTCCAAGTGAGCTTAGTAGGTGAGTAAGGAAGATCAGTGGGATAACTGACACCAGTATGATCTCCTCTGAAAGAGATGACTCTTGTCCCTACTGAGGCCAATTGTTGTTGCCTCATCAGTAATCGTGTTTGATCTTCAGAAATAATCTTAGGCATTAAAGCAGGGTCACTTTCATGCTCACTACCATCACCAAAGGGTTCTGCTTGTTGTATTGGTACTCTTGGTGTAGGCATGAACACAAATTCACTTTCACGTTCACCTTCTTGTGTTGGTTGAGTTGGTTGAGGGGCTGAACAACTAACATCCTCAACATTTACTTCACCACCAACCTATTAAAAAGAAAAACTTTCTATTAAGTTAAGCATAACTGCAATTATATAAGAAGAAAGATAAGTTAAGAAGAAAGTAAAGTACCTTGCATGTCCTTGAATTGTGGTCCAGTTCACCACAAATGCTGCATGTCATTCTAGTTCCCCTTCTTGATGCAGCCCAATCTCCTTGTCTCTTGTTAGCCTCATCTTTCTCCCTATTTCTTTTGACTTTTGGCCTTCCAACAGTTTTGGCAAGTGGAGGAGGGTCCATAGCATGTTCTGGTAAAACTTTCTAGAACTTTTCACCTCTAACAGGCATCAACTTAGCCTTATATGTCATCAGGTAAGCTTCCTTGCTGTGCCACCAACTAATTTCAGTCATTGGATCCTCTTTCTTGTATTTTAGTGCCCTGATGGTATGTGGTGGATACCTAAGCAACTCCTTGGCAGCATCAACAGACAATTCACCAAGATTCTTTAGTTGATCTTTAAAGTCCTCCTCATAAGTGCTCCAAGCAGACCACCATAGGTATTTCTTCATCTCTCCTGAAATTCTGATCCTCTTACTCCAGTTGGCTTCAATATGCCTCACACAAAACCTATGATTTGAGAGAGGGAGGACAATTCTTACTGCTTCCAACAGACCCTGCACATGTAAATTTAAACAGATTTAACTATATAATAACTTAAAAATAACGGGAATAGTCAGTTAAACAAAATTATAAGTTGTACCTTTTGCATATCAGACATAAAGGTAATACTGGTTCCATCTTTCAGATTCAATGAGTGCTTCAGCAGCTCCAGAAACCATGTCCATGTCAAGGTGTTTTCCTTATCAACTACAGCCCAAGCCAAGGGATAGAAATGATTCTGACAATCTTGTGCAACAGCCACCAATAATTGCCCTTTGCAATGACCCTTTAAGAAAGTCCCATCTAGTCCAATGAATGATCTCAACCCTTGTTTGAACCCCAACTTCATTGCATTGAAGCATATGTACATTCTAAGAAATCTCCTTTTACCTTCAGCCATGGCATCTTTTGATAAATTGATAACCACATCACTACCGGGATTGCTCTCCCTAATCTCATTTGCATATGCTTCTAATCTGTTATAGTCATCTAAAAAGCTTCCTTGCAATTGCTGAAGTGCCATCCTCTTAGCCCTTTTCAATGTGGAGTTATGTACATTCAATGAAAATTGATTTTTCAAATCTAGTTTCATATCCTTTATCTTGTACTTGGGGTTATTCTGCACCTTACTCCTGAAATATTCAGCTAAAGTTTTTGTTTTGGCTCTAGGATTCTCAAATGCATCTTCACAGTTGTGCTCTGTCTTCAATGTTTTCATCTTAAAGCCACGACCCTTCTTATCTTCAGAGATGAGGCATTCAAAAGGGCAGCCTACTACACATCTGTACCTTACTCTTATTTTATCACTTTTTTTAAGCTTCAAAGGTTTGGAATTTGCAATAGCATAGAAGTTCATGACTTTTTTGGCCTCTTCCAAGTCCTTAAATGTCATAGACTTATCAAGCTCTTTGTAGTGACTGAGCTTATCATTAACTTCTTTACCCTTTTGCATCCTAAGTGACTCTAATTCTTCAAAATCATATTCACTAGCATCTGAACCATACTCTGAACTTTTATCACTATCTGATCAACAATCAGTACCTAATTCACACTGATATTGACCTAAAATTGGCTCTTCGTGGTCCCCCATATTGAAATATCTATAATATAAATACAGAAGAAAACATAGAGGGCCCACATGAATAATTTAACAACTTTGACAATAAAATATTGAACATACAATAAATTATTGCATATAATATAGTGAAAAGAATAAAGCACACACTTTAATAGAAAAAGCACACGGTCTATACATGTTTTGTCGATTTCAACAGTGGAAAGCAAGAAAAAAAAAACAGTCTTTAAGAAGAAATGCACATGGTTCTATCGATTTCAACAACCCAACCCTACCACACTATAATAAAATATGTGAAAATGACACTTGCAGCCAAAGACAAAGTACATCTAGGGCACAAATTGACACCACATAAGGAAACAACAAAGATACCAAACAAAAAGAGTACCAGCCCCACATGCAAACACTATACACTAGACGGAAAAGGTCCAAAATACCAGAACATGTCAAAACCCTAGAAAATTACAAAAAAAAAAAAAGTTCGAGACAAAGACCCAGTAAATAGAAGGGAAAATTACCTGAATATCTTCCAATGATCTTTAATTTGTGTTGTTAAACCTTTCTCGATTTTATCATCACCTCCAAACAAATCGCCATGGAAGAATGAGTACCAGAAATTATTTGGAAATGGGGGTTTACGGCCTTTCTTTGATATTTGTTTGGAAATATACCACTCACGTGAGGAGTAAGCGGGTTTATGAAATAGCCCGCTTATGTGGCTGCCATGTCATGGCTTATGTGGATGCCATGTAGGATATTAAATGCTGATGGAAGGAGCCGTTAGGTTGAAGGGTATTAATGGGCCATTGTGCTAACGGGGAGGACTTTTTTGGCCCAGTTTACTAACGGAGGACATAACTGAGCTATATACCATAGTTTAGGGATATTTTTGGACCTTTTCCGTAATGTATTTAATGAAGATAGTGAAGGTTGAATGGAAAGTGGGGTCCACCTAAAGAATTTAATAGCTTATGGGCACATTAGTTTTGGTTTTTCTAAAGAACACACGACCAAACTTTTGAGCCTAATGTACAAACAAACAATGTACTAATATATCTAAAATGACCATTATGCCCTTGGTCAACCTCCTCTTCTCTCTTCTATATAATAGAAAAATTTGCATAAGTTTTAATTTTTACAGTATTAAATTTTCATTAGCATTCCACTTTTCTTTTTTATTTTGAATTTTATGTTAAGACAAAATGATTGTCAGATTATAACAAATAATATTAATGACAAACAAAATTTAGATTAACAAGATTATAGATTATCTCTTTGAATAATGTGCAAAATTATTAATATGTCATAAAACACTAAAAAAAATTGCATCTCTTGATATCATGACAAGTATCGTGGTGCACCTATAGTCTTAAAATTCTGGACCCGCCTCTGATATAGCTCTGCCCATAAATGAGATTAATTTGACTAACAAAGAGAATAAAACAGCAGGTTTAATAAAGTTTAAATGACGTAGATAAGGATTAGAATGTTAAAATTTCATTAAAACATAAACTTATATCTATGGCAGAAGTAAATGCCGAACTAGACATACGTCTATCTATATATACATTATATTAAAAGCAAAAAACTCTAAATTGTTATAAATAGAATTCTATTTATGGTAAATGTCTATATTTAGAGAGATTCTATGGTTTATTACTTGGTGGCTAAGTCACCATCTCCCTATAAATAGAGGGTTCTATTCCATTGTAATCCATCCCAAATTCAATAAGAATTTCCCCTCTCTCTCTCTCTGCAATATTGTTCTTCTTCTTTTATTATTTTATAACACGTTATCAGCACGAGACTCTACCGTCTCAAGAAGCTCTTTGAAAAGATTAAGTGTTTGTTGAAAATGTTCTCGACCGTAGGAAATATACTCTTTTCGCATGGAATTTGTGCTTGAGATATATAAAAGTAACTCCATCATTTAGGAACAATTATACACCAAATATGAATATTCCACAAAGCAAAATTGGATCAAAGTTCAATTGTAAAAATATTTGTTTAGTTGATTCATGTACGACACATACAATATTCAAAGAGAAGAAATATTTCTCTCATTTAAGTATGTGTAAGGCAGATGTTACTACAATTTCTGGTAGTAGTAAATTAATTGAAGGCTCTGGAAGAGCTACTATAACTCTGCCTAAGGGAACAATACTTATCATAGAGAATGCAATGTTCTCCTCCAAGTCCAAGAGGAACTTGTTGAGTTTTAAAGATATCCGCCGAAATGGATATCATATTGAGACAATAGATGAGAATAATCTTGAATATCTCATCATTACCAAAAATGTCTCTGGCCAGAAAAGGGCTGTTGAGAAGTTCCCATCTTTGTCTTGTGGCCTATATTGGACAAGAATTAGTGCAATTGAGGCACATTCTATTGTAAACCAAAAGGTTACCGATTCCAATACTTTTGTACTTTGGCATGATCGATTGGGACACCCTGGATCAATTATTATGAGACGAATTATAGAAAACTCAAATGGGCATCCATTAAAGAATTTAAAGATTCTTTTAAATGATGAATTTTCTTGCACTTCTTGTTATCAAGGCAAGTTAATTATTAGACCATCACCAACAAAGGTTGGAATTGAGTCCCCTGCGTTTTTGGAACGTATACAAGGGGACATTTGTGGACCTATTCACCCACATAGTGGGTCGTTTAGATATTTTATGGTCTTAATAGACGCATCTTCTAGATGGTCCCATGTGTGCCTATTGTCATCTCGCAACCTCGCGTTTGCAAAATTAATGGCACAAATAATTCGATTACGGGCACAATTTCCCGATAATCCAATTAAGTCTATTAGACTTGATAATGCTGCTGAGTTTTCATCCCAAGCATCAATTGGGATAAAAGTGGAACATCCTGTAGCTCATGTTCACACTCAAAATGGTCTTGCAGAGTCTTTAATTGAACGTCTGCAATTGATAGCAAGACCGTTACTCATGAAAACGAGGCTGCACACTTCTGTTTGGGGTCACGCCATTTTGCATGCAGCAATGCTAGTTCGTCTCAGACCGACAAATTATCATAAATATTCCCCGTTGCAATTAGTTTTGGGTTATGAACCTAATATATCCCATTTAAGAATTTTTGGATGCGCAGTATATATGCCTGTAGCACCACCATATCGCACCAAAATGGGTCCGCAAAGAAGGTTAGGAATATATGTTAGGTTTGAATCGCCCTCCATTATTCGCTACCTCGAAACATTGACGGGTGATTTGTTTACTGCATGATTTGCAGACTGTCGATTCGATGAGACACTTTTCCCAAAATTAGGGGGAAAAGTTGGTGAAATCAAACGGGAAATTTTGTGGAAAAATCCATCATTATCTCATCTTGATCCACGTGCCTCTATTTGTGAAAAAGAGGTGCAAAAGATTACCCATTTGCAGAGAATAGCAAATCAAATGCCAGACGCATTTACGAATTTGAAAAGGATAACAAAATCACATATCCCTGCAGAGAATGTTCCAATCCGTATTGATGTCCCTGTTGGACAATCTTCTAGTGTCATAGCTAATGAGTCAAAAGCACGCCTAAAATGTGGCAGACCATTAGGTTCCAAAGATCGAAATCCTAGAAAAAGGAAAACAAACGATCAAAATGACACTACAAAAGAATCTCATGAAGAAATTCACGATTTAATAAATTCTGAGATTCATGAGGAATCCACTGAGCCTGAGACTCAAGAAAATAAGGAACTATCAATAAATCCAATCGATATTGAGACAAATTTGAATCGAGTGGATATAGTGGTGGATTATGTCTTTGCATATAATGTTGCATCTAGCATTATGCAAGAAAGTGAGGATCTTGAACCTCAATCTGTTGGAGAATGTCGACAAAGACTTGATTGGCCAAAATGGCAAGAAGCAATCCAATCAGAGTTGAATTCGCTTGCAAAACGTGAAGTTTTTGGGCCTGTAGTCCAAACACCTAATGGTGTTAAGCCTGTTGGCTATAAATGGGTCTTTGTACGCAAGAGAAATGAGAAAAACGAGGTACAAAGATATAAGGCACGCCTTGTTGCACAAGAATTTTCACAAAGACCTGGTGTCGATTATGAAGAGACATATTCACCCGTTATGGATGCTATAACGTTCCGTTATCTCATTAGTTTTGCTGTCAATGAAAAGCTTGACATGCATTTAATGGATGTGGTTACAGCCTACCTTTATGGCTCACTTGATAATGAGATATACATAAAAATTCCCGAGGGATTCAAAAATGCCTAACGCAAATAATTCAAAGCCCCAGGAAATGTTTTCAATCAAATTGCAAAGATCTTTGTACGGTCTAAAGCAATCAGGACGAATGTGGTATAATCGTCTTAGTGAGTATTTATTAAAGGAAGGCTATATAAATGATGCCATTTGCCCATGTGTTTTTATGAAGAAAACGACATCGGAATTTGTTGTACTTGCCGTATATGTTGATGACATAAACCTTATTGGAACTCCTATAGAACTCCAAAAGGCAATTGATTATTTAAAGAAGGAATTCGAGATGAAAGATCTCGAAAAGACAAAATTATGTCTTGGTTGCAAATTGAACATTTGGCAAACGGAATTTTTGTTCATCAATCTGCCTACATAGAAAAGGTATTGAAATGGTTTTACATGGATGGAGCACATCCATTAAGTACTCCGATAGTTGTTCGATCACTTGATGTGAATAAGGATCCATTCCGACCTTAAGAAGAGAATGAAGAGCTACTTGGTCCTGAAGTACCATATCTTAGTGCAATAGGTGCACTAATGTATCTTGCCAATACTACAAGGCCTGACATAACCTTTTCAGTTAATGTCCTAGCAAGATATAGCTCTGCTCCCACAAGGAGACATTGGAATGGAATCAAACACATATTGTGGTATCTAAAAGGAACTACCGATATGGGCTTATTTTATGGCAATAATTGCAGTCCTGATCTTGTTGGTTATGCCGATGCTGGATATTTATCTGACCCACACAAGGCTCGGTCTCAAACAGGTTATGTGTTTACCTGTGGAGGCACTGCCATATCTTGGCGATCGACTAAGCAATCAATTGTGGCTACTTCATCTAATCATGCTGAGATAATTGCTATTCATGAAGCAAGTCGAGAGTGTTTGTGGTTGAGGTCTATAATACATCTTATTCGAGATAAATGTGGTTTGAAATGTGACAAGTTACCCACGATTTTGTATGAAGATAATGCAGCATGCATAGCTCAATTGAAGGGAGGATTCATAAAAGGGGATAGGACAAAGCACATTTCACCAAAGTTATTTTTCACACATGATATTCAAAAGAATGATGATATCAATGTGCAACAGATTCGTTCAAGTGATAATATGGCTGATTTGTTCACAAAATCTCTACCAACGTCAACCTTCAAGAAGCTAGTGTACAAGATCGGGATGCGAAGGCTCAAGGATGTGAATTGATGCTCTCATCAGGGGGAGTCAATGCGCGTTGCACTCTTTTTCCCTTACAAGTTTTTGTCCCACTGGGTTTTCCTTGCAAGGTTTTTAACGAGGCAACCAATAGGCGCATTTCTAAACATGTGTACTCTTTTTCCTTTTCTAGAATTTTTTTTCCCATTGGGTTTTCTTTTAGTTAAGGTTTTAACGAGGCACATTATCTGTTGAATAGACATTCAGGGGGAGTGTTATAAATAGAATTCTATTTATGGTGAATGTCTATATTTAGAGAGATTTTAGGGTTTATTACTTGGTGGCTAAGTCACCATCTCCCTATAAATAGAGGGTTCTATTCCATTGTAATTCATCCCAAAATTCAATAAGAATTTCCCCTCTCTCTCTGCAATATTGTTCTTCTTCTTTTATTATTTTATAACATAAATTAAAAAGTTAAATGAATTTATTACCTTTATATCTTAAAAACCTAATTACCGGACTTAAAAAGAAAAAGACCTGCGGCGCAGAACATCTTGGATATGACCTGATAAGACAAAATATCATCTTTAAAATTAGTAGTTATTTAATCTATAATACTAATATTTTTATTGTCTTCGCAGGAATATTATAATTCGGTATAATAATCAGCAACTTTACAATTAAGAAGACATGTGAGCAAAAGACACTCAAAGTTTAGATTTATAAAGAAAAATCCAAGAAAAAAAAAAAACAATTGCTGGAAACGGGAAATCGAAAGGAATAAAATCAGTATGAGCAAGTGGACATGTGCTACTTTGAAAAGTAAACTTGTTGGTAAAACTAATTTCAAAACGTGAAGTTTCAATTTGCCAATCGAGATCGAAGCTTACAGAGAACATACATACATTTTTTAGCTCACATAAAGACAGTTGGAAAAGTTAAAGATAATAAGCTATTCAGATCCAGATGCCAATATAGTATACTCGGTTGATGAGCTATATCAGGAAGAGTACTAAACGAACACCCATAGCTCTTTTCACCATGACAATTAAGTTTATAGAGCAATATGAGGTATCTAGTTAAGGATACGACTGTGAAATTTGGTCGCTTGGCTGCGAATTTTGGATGGAATTGAAAAACCACTTCATTTATTTTGTGACAATAAGTTAACAGTCATGTATTCCAATAACAACATGAATTCAGATATGTAATGCAACAGATGAAAGCTTAGCGCATATATTCCACAAATATCCGTACTCTATGACTATTTGGTCCGCGCTACTATGCTGGAAAGGTGTGCAAAGGAAAGTGATGGAGTAGCAGGAGTTAGAGTGAGCAGTGAAGCTAGCAAATGGCAAAAAGGGTCAAGCTCAGATATGCAAAAAAAAATGGCCCCGGGTCCTTCCTTTCTATTCCTTGGTAAGCGGACCGTGGGAGCATGGGGGGCGATATGTGCTTTTGACTGATAGAAAGTATCTTGTAGTTAATATGTTTTATACAAAAAGGAACCCATGCAACGCTAGGAAATCCTTTTAGAGAGCTAACAATATGAATTTGGTAAAGTCAATGCACATTAATATAAAGTTTCTGGTTATTAAAGGAGTTCAGAGTGATTAGGAGTCTATAGAACATACTGGTACAAACTCCATGGTTGTGGATCCATTTATTAAGGGACTACCACCCAAGGTCTTTCATGGGCATACTGCTTATATGGGTGTCATGTCACTTGAGAATATCCAGTTTTAGTGGGAGTTTGTAACATCTTAAATGTTCTTTATATATACACAGTTGTGGATTTCAGTTTAACATTCAGATTATGGTTTCAGTTTGAGCATACTGGAGGACTTGAGGTTATTTCTGCAGAACTAAAGTATTCAGTTTATTTTTTACCCTGACTTATTTTTCAGTTGTACTAGTTGAAAATAGACATGCTTAGTCTCATGGATTCAGGAACGCTTCCGCATCTAGTTTTTGTTCTTGATGATTGATATGGTAATTCTAGGGATAAGATGATGGTGTTTATCCTTGGACTATTTTGGTTCTAACATCATCTTGTCTATAATGGCGTCTATAGACGCGGAGATAATCTGTACAGTGGCCAGTGCTGCCATCTTGATAACTTAAGTGTATTTTGTTTGACCAATTTTTCACGGAAAATACCAAAGCTTTGAAAAGATCACAATGAACGCTACGCCAGACAGCCCATACATAGTAAAAGATCATGTCTGTATAATAACCTGCAGTTGGCTACTTAAACGGCAGATCTTGTTATTTCCTTCAAGCCAACTTTTTTGTTGGCAAAGGCACAGAAGTAATTTATTCCATGAATGGTAATCAGGAACTATACCCTTTTCTACCATTTGCAAAAAGAACATAAATGCTTTGTGGAAATCTCCATTGCTGCAAAAAACATCAATGAATGGACTGTAGCTCCCGTAGTCCAGCAAACAGCCTCTACCTATGATGTCCTCCATCAACTTTGATGCCTTTCCAAGTCTACCCTGCCTGCAAAGCAGATTTATCAAAGCATTGAAAGTTGATGCAACAGGAAGATAACCATGCCCAATCATCTCATTCATCAGCTCAAGTGCTTCTCTTACACATCCTTTGCTGCAGAATCCACTAATTAAGTTTGCATAAATAAGAGCACTTGGCATAACACCTTCCCCAACCATCTGATCATAGACCCTCCTTGCTTCATCAATGCTTCCATTTTCACAAAAACCAAGTATTCTCATGCTCCTATCCACAGCTCGTGGATACGAATTTTCCATCTTCCTTAAAAATGCAAGTGCTTCTTCCAAACGGTTTTCCTTGTAAAGACCATACATAATACCATTATACGGACTAATATGAAATGCTGAAGCCCCTTTATCATCCTCCATTAATTCCAAGATCTTCAATCCATCTTCCACTCTCCCACTCGAACACAGTCCATGGATAAGAGTATCGTACGTGACAAAATTCCAATTTATCCCAACCCTTTTCATTTCATTGAACATGTCAAGTGCCAAATTCAACATCTTGGAGTCACAGAGACCAGATATCAAACCACTATATGTATCTGCATTTGGCAGGCACCCTTTCAACTCCATCTCCTTCAAAAGACGACAACCAACTTTCACATTCCCTAATCTACAAAACCCATTAATCAACGTGTTATAAGCCACAACATCAACAATTCCTCCTCTTTCCTCAACTCTTTGTAGTACCTCCACTGCCTCCGAAGCACGTCCGTTGTTACAAAGAAGTTCCACCACTTTAGTCACCATAATTACATCAGGAATATACCCTTTACTAAAGCTCTTTTCCAGCATCACCAAAGCCTGTACTAAGTTCCGCTCTCCACAATATGCAGATATCAAAATGTTAAAAGTCACATCACTTGGTTCAACCAATTCTCTCATCAAACTCCTGGCTCTCCCTACCTTCCCATTCTTGCAGAGTGCATGTATAAGTGTATTATAAATCACAGTATTTGGCGTAATGCCACGAGTTTTCATCACTTGAAGAAGCTTAAACCCATCACCAATCCTATTAGTCAAGCAAAGTCCTTTCATCAAAATCCCATAAGTATAATCATCACCCTGAATTCCACTTCCCATCATTTTCATCCTATAGAATTCTCTAGCAATGTCAATATCTTCCTTAACAAGAACATCAAGAATTGAATTATAAAGCTTTAGAGTTGGCTTCTTTTCAAACTTAAACACCAATTCAGGAACTTTAATGACTTGTTTAATCATTCGAGCGCGGCCAAGGCCACGTATAATAGTGATGAAGATATCCTCATCTGGGGTTGACCCAATTGAGCTAGGCATTTCATCGAGCATCTCCTGGGCAGTATCGAAACGACGAAAATTGCAAAGCTTGTGGATTAAAGCTCTGTAAGTAGACTGATTGTGAGTGAAATTGCGAAGCTCGGAGGCCCATCTAAAGGTTTGAAGAGCTTCAGTTGCAGATTTTTGTTCTAAAATTAAACGGGTGATGTTTTCTTGAGTTGGGACGGGACTGCTTAACACTGGTTCTGATTGAGTAGTGAGAAATGTTAGATGAATTCGGCTGCTGAAACAGACCGAGAGTTTATACGCTTTGTGCATGTGGCTATTCAATTCAGAAAGAAATTAAATAATTGAGATGATAAATAGTAAACGTAGACAGAGATGAAGAAAGAAGCAAATGGTAAGCAAATTTCGTTCAAGACATACATTCTTGCGGACCCACCTCAGAGGAACAAAGGAAGCAAAGAGAAAAATTGGCAGGTCATAATCAATGGTCTATTTTAAAGCGAAATCCAAATAGCACCCTTTCAACCCAAAAATAAAAATAAAAATAGCACCCTAAGAAAGAATGAAGAAACATTTGAGACTTTGAGTACATTTAAATTAACAAGACGCATTGGAAATGGGTTTTCGAGATAAACAACAAGAGAAGCTTTGGCCTAAATTACACATTTGCCAGATTTTAATATTTAATGCGGAATTAGGAATTTCTCAAACTGATGTAAATGTGACTTAGAACTCATTTTATTTTATTAAAATGTCCGAATTTGAATATATTTTATTGTAGGAAAAATAGTAGATAATATTGACCAAAAACAAGAAGGAAACAAGCTGTGTCGTGCCTGGCAAGTGATTTCGGCCTGACTGGGTACAAATCGTTAAGACCGGTCGCTCCCCAAGGTTCCACAGCAAACACGTGCACTCGTGGCTGGAAGTTTAGAATTTGCACAAAATAATTGCCCAGAAAAAGAGGAGAATGTCTTTTGTAGGTAAAATTGTTGGACAGTTACAGATGAAGAAATTAATCTGTAGTTGTTATAGAAATTAAAATGGAGTTGTTAAAAAAAGTAAATCATGACAGTTATAAAGAAAGAAGAAATAATTTTGCAAAACCATATTCGGAGTAGGCCTCACGTACATCACGCGCGCAAGGGTCGGCGACCCGTTTTGCCTTCATGACCAATTTCTCATGTGCGCGAGATCACTCCCTTTTACTAGCTCTTTACAAGCCAAACAAAGAGCATAGAGAAGAAAGAAACTTTCCACAACCGATGAGGGACATTTTGTCTTTCACAAAAAGACAAAGAAGTAAAGAAGAAAAGGGACCACAAAATTATTTTTAACTTTGCAATACCAAGTATAAATAATACCAACATTTATTACTAAGATGTTGTCTCGAATTATAAACACAAAATAATCCATACTATTTGTTTTCTCGGTATTTGAATTTATAATTTATTTTATTTAAAAGTTAATAAATATATAAGTTAAAATAATAATTAATTATTATATCAACAAAATATTACAAATATTTTAATTTAAATGATACTGTTAAAATTGTTGATGAAGTACTTTATCCTGACTCGATGAAAAAATTAGGATCACTTCTTCTACTCATCGAGAATAATCTGATCTAGTTCATAACCTATTTGAACTAAAGGCGTTCTAGAGGGATCTTCACGGATAGAAAATGATAGATTGATATTGCTATATTTTTCTATGAAAAATATGAATCGGGGTTTGAAGAAGGGATTAACTGTGTGCCACCCACATGATCCGAGTGATTACAATCACCAAAGCCCAAAGGTTGTGTATGAGTCTCCAAAGCTGCGGGTAAAGGTCGCAAAAAGTCAAAGGTACTAAGTTGGGCCCTCACGCCATACTCTGTCATCTCTATACTCGTCCTGCAGACTATTGGCTTTGATACCAGTTGTTGGGCTAAAACGGCTCAAAAATACTCTTAACATGGTATGATATAATCTGATTTGAACCAAGCCTGCATGTTTTTTTTTCAAACAGCCGAACACCATAAATAGTATTCAACTCTTTATAAGTAACATTTTTTTCCTTTTTTCTTTTCATGTGGGACTTTGTTCATACACATCCAACACGATAGAGGTTAGTGGCGGCGGTTGGTACGGTTGTTGGTGGTGGAAGTGTTGTTTGTGGTTGGCTGTGGTGGTTGTTGACGAGCGTAAAACACAACACAAATTTACTGCTCGCTAGTCAATGATATTATAGTTAAATCATCTTCTCCATAAGGATTGAATTTAAATAATGTACGAATAATCTTTAGTTAATTACTATCTAGAAAAATTAACACTTGATTTAATGATTATCAACTCCGATTAACTACTAAAAGTTAAGCAATTAAAAATTGATCACGGAAGACAACAATTGAGCAACGAAGAGATATCACTCAGAGACGGGTAATTGACTAGACAGGTGCAAGACAATTGACTCGAGACCTCATTCTTGAGTTAGTTTACTCTATAATACTGTTGATTCTCACGAATTCAACAGATAATTAGATTACACTTGAATTTAATGTTCCTCTTTCAATTAATTATTAATTTCAATAATTAATCTAATTTTAGCACGGTAAACAATTGCAACGAATAAAGTGATGGTTATGGTCTAAAGGGTAACTTCTCACGAATATTTTCATATTTTCTAGTTCGATTAACAATTCAAGAGGATCTTTCGTACCCAGTTGAATCACGAATTTAAACTAGAGCATAAGATGTAAAGAAATTCAATATAAAGCTCCTCTTCGGTAAAGCAAAATAATAAATAACTTCACAATACGAATTAAAACTCCATCCATAATCCAAACAATTGTCAAGAATCGAATCCCTAATCAAGTTATCAATACACTATATGAATACACCAAGTTATCACCACACCCTAAGAAGAATTACTCCATATCAATTTAAAAAGTCCTCTCAATAAGGTTTAAAAATGTAGAAAACATCAATGTTAATGATTCGATACAAACTTCCGTATTGCACCTATTGTTGGTTGAAATCTTGATGAATTCTTGTGTCTTCTTGCCTTAGTCACTTGTCAAATCTGTCGTAGGTCAAAAGCCCCTCAAAAATGTACTTTTTAGTGTATTTACACCAAGTCGGAACGTGCCAGACCAAACTACCCTCTTTGAGCCGAAGTGGGAAAATCAGAAAACTTTTTACACTTCATGTGTCACATAGTGCTACACGCTCCTGCATCGCATTAGTGTAATTTACTCAGTTGCAAACTTTCTAAACTCAAGTTGTCTGGCAAACTTTTGTACTACTGCGTCGCACCTTGGTACGCCCCTGCATCGCATTAGTACATTTTCTTGTAAGACCAAAAAACCTCCAAGTCTCTGAACTTTTGAAATTTCTGACAAATATTTGTACTAATGTGTCGCACTCTGCTACGCTTAATGCGTCGCATTAGTACATTTGTTCTGGCCTTTGCGCTTTCGTCCAACTCTCGTATGCAACACCGGTCCACGAGCCCCGGATGCGATCCCGGTTTAATTTTTTAGGCATTTACTCAGACTTCAAAGCTCCAAATTATTCGATTTAGCTCCATTTTATATTTTTAATTTAAAATCATTTCCTGCAAGGCATATAACACATAATAAGTGCAAATCACCATCATTTAAGCTCAAACACACATAAAATGCAGTAATTACAGTGTAAACTACGGCTAAAACACAGGTTTCTAGCCTACCATCAACACCCCGCACTTAAATGTTTGCTGGTCCTCGAGCAATCAAACTACACTTCAGATAGAGACAACCGTTTCATCAAACAACTTAGCTAACACATCATGCCAAGGATATTTAAAGCAACTAAGCACCCTATCATAACATTCTAGCCTCAAAGCTCGACTCAAAAGCACCACGCATTTTTCACAAACTACTCACTTATTCTAACACAGAGGTCAACGTCATTACCTTTCCTTCGCAGGTCATGTGCTCTCACACCAAAATAGATAGTAGTTCCACACACAAATAAATTCAAGAACAGATAGGAACTCAAGATAGAAAAAATTCACTCACTCTCAGAAATAAAATTCATTAGCCACAGAAAATGCACTATAAGCTTGTCCATAATGTAATACTCTACTAATTGAGCTCATTCAGTCAAAGATCAAGTAGGACTTTAATTTCGTTGTAATATAGGCTGCAGGACGGGTAGGATGCAATTTGGATAATAGTGGCTACACCTCCCTGAGCACTTTAATACATACAATTTCACCAATTCAAACTCCACACTTATGTTGAACCAACCCCCAACCTTCACATCATATTAGCACCAATTTCTCAATTTCTTTAAGCACAAACAAATCAAGATTTACCACTAGCAAGGAATAATTTTTTTTATAATATATACAATACCGATTTTTTTCTAAGTTCTGAATTTCTTTCTCTTATTTTTTTTCAATTCCCTACAAGTGGCTCTCGCATTTTTTTTAAATAGTGCACTTCCTCTTTTTTCTATAGTTCCCCTAAAAACCCAACCATTCCTCCACTTAGCTTTTAACAAGCTCATAAATTTCTCACGTGCTTATGAGAGGTAAAATGTGCAAATAAATAGTCAATTCACAAATAGGTCAAGCTTGTAGTGTGGTTGCCAAAGAAAATAGAATTACAGGCTCAAAGGGGCCTAGGATACACAACAATTAGGCGGGTCACAGGCATATAATTGGCTCAATAAAGAAATGCCTATATCACTTCCTAGACTAAACAAGACTGCTATTTCGCTTTGCAAACACACGGGATAAGTTCTAGACATCAACTGACATGCACAAAATATCACAAAACCTCACACACACCATGACACATAACTCATTTAGGATCGGTCTATCCCGACTCTCTAGTCAAAGCAGTTAAGCACAGTCAAGATCAAACAAATTAAGGTACTTATACACGAGTAAAGAACTAAGCCTAAGTATCATGACTAAGGCACTCACAGCTCTCAAGGCGTACCAGTCAAGGAAAATTGCTTCAAGTTAGCACTATGACTCAAGATTCTTTATTCCTACCAAAAAAAATTAACTACACCCGATTCAAATAAAAGCCCTTGGAAAAGAACCGCATCACAAAGAAAAACTAAGTGTGAATTATTACACTATCTAAAAACTAAAATAAATAAAAAAACATATTTTTGGTTTTACACAATTTTTTTTGTTATTTTTCTCGTTCGACTTCAAATCCCTCAAGAAGCCAGTCAACGAAATCCATCGTTGGGCAAAGTCGAACTACTTCTGCACGAGCTACTAACTATTACATGCCAAATAAAATTCAGAGTTACGATTACGGGCCAAATTGTCTAATAAAGAAAGAAACAAATCAAACAAAACCAAATGCCAAAGAGAAAAAAAAACAAATACAAGCAAATAGGAAGACCCCACCCCATACTTAAGAGATTGTATTGTCTGCAATGAAAAGTAATAAAACAAGGGTGGTAAAGGATTCTCTGAGGCCTTGGCCTAGTCATCGGCACCATCAGTAGTGCTAGGAATAGCAGTCTCATCATCGTCCTCCGCAACAGAGTTAACATCTTCATCAGGACGAAGTGCAGGACTATCATCCAATCCTAGAAAACGCCTAACAGGGGCACCCAAATGGGACTGT